CACCAAACAGAGGCTAAAAATAAAAATAAACTTATTTGTTAGGTAATGAAGAAAATAAATATAAAATGAGTTGGCGTGGAAGGCCGGAAAAGCCCTGTTCTACGTGTGACCGACTCAGCAATGGGCACTTTCAAACTAGCTGTTAAGGATAGTTAATAACCACATAAAAATAATTAATTTTTAAAAAAAAAGTTGATTTGACAAAATTCTAGTCTACCAAACAATATTGTATTAATTAGAGACCAAGTAGTGGGCTGAGTGGCAACTACTTTTCTTCTCTTGACCGAATAATGTCTAATGGATGTAGCGGTGCATAACTTTATTGAACTGACGTGACAAAGGAAAAATAGATATTAGTTAGGACAATTTCGGTAAATAACAAGTCTTTCATTTTGTATGCCACCTAAATGACGATTCATTAAATGCATTGGAGATGATCTTTCAATATGAATATTGAGAAAAAATGAGATGAAACTTGACAAATTGTGATGGTGCGACGAGTCTTTTTTTTTATGACTCGGGTGTCCAAGTTTCGTCTGACTAATCTTGAAGGGTGGCTGTCTTCCCCCTTGGTTCGCTACCCCGATTAATCCGAATATGGCCACAGCTTATACACACTTGTGCCGGACATTTGACGGCTCTTCTCCCGTGGACCTCTGTCTTCCAACATTAAATATTGTCTTCCAACATAAGTGTTGCCTTTCAATTGTCGCGGGAATTCGAACGTTCGATACTCCGTATAGAACCATCTTGCTTTGAGAGTGTTTGAATCTAATTTTGAGGAGAAAAGAAATTTTGGAATAGTGATTCATGTGAGAATGTATGGTGGAAAAGTGATGAAAAGTTTTTGATTTGTGTGTAATATTATTTTATTTGAAGAATGTGTGGTTGAAATGAAAAATGAGAATGAGAATGAAAATGAAAAATTAATGGGTGCCAAACGGGGGCTTTAACACTGCGTCATGCCTGTGGGGACAGTGCGAAGAGTCTCTTGTTTATAGTTTAGGAAGTTTTAGCTAAGAGTCAATTCATATTATGAACATTTTCTACAAAATAACGCTTTAACATTTTGCCGTTCATAATTACTTTTTACTCTATCTTGCAGTTCATTTTGATCGAACTTTTTGTTACGACCTTTTCTCAAGTCAATGTCAAAATTGAGTTTTTAAAACGCGGAATTTCAAGCAAGATAATTACATCTTTTATTTATTTAGATAACTGACAAAACAATAATTAATATCAAGCCCTGTAGCAAGCAATCTCATTGTTTTCACATTTGTTCATATTAACTATTAAAATATATTTTATCTAAATGTAATTTTCTTAAAGCAGTGTTCTCTCATGCGCTAATTCAAAAACAACTTTGAGCCGTTGATCAAAATCCTCTTTCTTTCTTTTTTTTTTTTTTAAAGAAATGTGTGATTAAAAAATATGAAATTATTATGAAAAAATTGAAAATATAATGCAATTTTAGGCATGCACCACGTGGGGAACTATGTCAGCCACGAACTCATGGTCGTGCACAAAAACCACTAACTTGTACGATACGATAACTAACGATTTCCAATGAATTAGAAATGAAAAAATGAATTTCATCTAGAAACGCAAGGAAAACAAACTAAAACAAGAAATTACTGCTCAAAATAACAATTTTATGTAAATTAATGAATAAATAAATTGTACCAGAAATATATTCCTAATGAATTACACAATCAATCTAAATTTAATCAAATCAATTTGATTAAAATCTTTCCCCAAATAAAGGTAAACGAGGTTTCTTGAAAGGCATAGGGCTTTCCACTTCCTGATCACCAACAAATTGACTTTTCTTCACGCAGTCAACGGTCAACTCCAATTGAAATTCCGGCGTAGCAGGTAGGTTCAGATCGAAGTCTCTTGGAGCGTGGCTGGACGCGCCACCATCAGAGGAGGTGACGCTACTTTTAGAGCTCCCACCGCCGATGATGCCTTCGTAGTGGCGACGCTTGTGACCACCCAAAGCCTGGCCGGTAGGGAAAGACTTATGGCAGATGGAACACTCGTGGAGTCTACCTCTCGGGTTGAGAGCAGATACATTAGAAGCAGTGCTTGCAGCGGCCGTGGTGGTGGATGTTGACGTCGAATGATTTCCATCGTCTGAAGCGGTCGCGGTGGCGTTCTTGCGGTGGCTTGCTTTATGTCCGCCGAGTGCTTGGTATGAGGCAAAAGCCTTGTTGCACACGCTGCAGCTGTATGACTGGTCCTGGGTCGTCGGTGGCGGCGTAGTAGTAGAATTTTCTATTTGCTTCTTGCTATCGTTTATGGTAGGAAGATTGGGAGTTCGGGTTGTATTAACCGAGGGACTGATGGCGGCGCCCCCGCCGCTGTGAGCAAGCATGATTAGACAGAGGGCTAAGTATTCTTCATCAGTTTGCGGGTTTTCGCTGCGTGAACGCTTAGAGCGCTTTCTTTTCGTCCATGAATCAAGATTCCGATCGACGTCGTCGTACTTTAGGCCAGTTGTAGGAGCTGCCGCCGGGGAATTCAGAGCTTCGAGTGCCATAATCACTATCGATTTCACCACCAGAAAATCAAGAAACTATAGAGAGAGAAGAGAGAGAGCTGGAGTAATGAGTTGTAGAAGAGTTGAGTTGTAGTGAGTAAAGAAAGGTTTGAGAGGTTTATATATATAGAGTTTAAAGGGCGTGGGTGCTGGAAGTTACGTGGGGAGTTCAGTACAGTACAGTACACAGGTAAGAGAATATGTAATAATTACTTAATTAATAAAAAAAATTAATTAAGAAATAACAATTACTCCTCTCCTCCCCAGTATGAATTATATAATTATAATAAAAAATAAGGATGAAGATTATAGGGTGGGGTTCACACGTCGGTCTAGACTGGGTGGAGAGGGTGTGGTCGGTCAATAAGAGTGGGATTGAATATTGTTGAGGTGGGTGGGGTAGGAGTGCTAATGGAGCGGGTGGTGAAACTACTCTCTATCTGTGTGCGTGAGACTTGACAATGAAAGTTCTTTGTTCTTCGATGACTTTTTCCAAGTCAAAACAAAACAAAAACACGCATATATATTAGGTTTTTTTTTTTTTTGGGGCGAAAGTGATTTATGTTCTGAGGTAATTTGCTGACATTATGCTATGGTTCCTTTTTCAATTTTGGGGATTGGGAAATGATTAAGCTATTATTACATTTTCATGCAAGATTTTACAGTTACTTTGATGGCCTAATGATATTTTCTGAACCTAATTCACACTCAAATTAGTCGAACAAATCTAAAAATCGTATCGTACTAACTGCATCTATAAACTCTTTTATAAGATTAGTCAAACGAATCTAAAAGCTGTTTTTGAACCTCAAAAGCTCCTTTTGATTTTTCAAAAGCCACGTCGAAAGGTCCTAGGTCCCACTAAACAATCGTACAACATACGTTGAAAATCTTAATCTTTGTATTGTATACTTGCACTAAATATTTTTACTAAGACATTGTTTGACACCCATTTTTTGGAGAATAGAATTTTTGGAATAGTGATTGATGGGAGAATGTGTGGTGAAAAAGTTATGAAAAGTTATGAAAATTTTTAGATTTTTGTGTAATATTATTTTATTGGGAGAATGTGTGGTTGAAACGAAAACTGAGAAAAAAAAATGAGAATGAGATGAGAATTGGTGCCAAAAAGGAGGCTAAATATGTTACCAGTGTGGTTGAAACGAAGAATGAGAAAAAAATGAGAATGAGATGAGAATTAGTGCCAAACAGAGACTAAATATGTTACCAGTGTTTCTAGAGCTATTTTTTTTTTAATAAAATTAGGTGTAATCTAAATAATTAATTAATTATTATATAGCTGAATGAATTGAATCACGAGATGCAATGAATTTACACCATTCCACTAATTTGGGCAAAAAAAAAAAAAAATCTTGAATGGGTACATTAATTAATTAAATGAAGACTAGTTAAATTCCTGGGTAAAAAAGATTGAATTGTCACGAAGACACCTCATATTATCCTAGAAAATTCAAAATGGAAGTTTGTACGCGGTTCCGTGCTTTAAAATTTAGCTTTTTATAGGTCCTAGACTAGAATTATCTACAAATTCCATCCTTATCATATTCATTCATACAAAGCATAAAGTAAGTGGGCACTCGAAACAAGAAATGTCCACAGCATGGCTATCCCTTCACAAAGGCCCTTTTATGATTGCTTTCGGTACTCA